AGATGGGAATGGGACTGACAAGATCACAGAATAGGAACATTAAGGAGGAACAAAAACAGGGAGTGGGTGGGGCGAAGAGTGGAGGAAAAGAGGTTAAATTAGAGAATGCAGAATTAGAATGGAGGTGATAAAAAAGAGAAAATTGAGGATAAAATCGGAATAGAAGGAAAGAATGGAGAGAAAAGAGAAAAGGGAAGGAAAGAGGCAATGGATGGGGGAGAGTAAGAAGAGGGTGGGGGAATGAAAAAAGAAAGAAAGAGAAGGGAGAAAGGGGGAAAACGGTAAAAGCGGTAAAAGGAAAGAAAGCTGAAGAGGGAAAAATTGAGCCGAAGTGTCCAACTGAGAGGGAAAATAAATGGGAGCTGGGAGCAAGCAGTTGGGAAAAGTCGCTTAGACTAGAGTCAAACAGCAACAAACCTGATAAACTTGTCAGACTCTCCCAGAGTACCCAATGCCAGTAAAACAGAGACCTCGTGAATGGAGTTTCCAAGTACCACCTGCCCCTCCTAACCCGCATGCTCCACTCATCCCGGGGCTACTTGGCGTCCGGGCAAAGTGCGTTAGCATCAGGAGCCCAGCTCAGTACCTGCCCCAGCGGAAAGGGACCAGGCAGGGCTGGGGCACAATTAGCACCTGGGTGTCTTGAGATGTGGTCTTTTGATAATGATCCCCATCAGCGTTATTACTTGGTTTAAAAAAGAGGGGGGGGGTGGCAAAAAAATAAATAAAAATAAAAAGGTGGAGAGAGAGAGAGAGAAGGATAGACTGAGACAAGTACGAAAAGCACGCCGTTCTTCCTACCTAAGCACCGCCGTGTCCCCTTTTCTGACCATCATGTTGTCCACGGCCGCCCAGGGAAAGTCCACACTCTGTCCAGCCGGGAGGCAGGAGGGCAGGAGGCAGCACAGGCTGAGGAGCACCGCCGCCAGCCACTGGTTCGAGCAACAAGCACCCTGCACCAACAGCATCATGTCCATCCCTGCTAGGGCTGCTCACTCTCCAGAAGCTTTCAGCTCGCACTCCCCCACCCCCTGGTGCTGGCGTCTTCCCGGGAACCAGGCGGCGCGCCACAGGATTTTTTTTCTTTTCTTTTCTTTCTTTTTTTTTTTTTTTGTGGATGGGTGGGTTTCTTTTCTTTCGTTCTTTCCCCTCTCTAGTTGTTGGGTGTTGTTTTTCTCTCTCTTTTTTGCCTCCCCGCCTTTTCCTCTTCGCTGTCCCTCCCTCCCTCCCCTCCCACCCCCTGGCACCACACTACACCTCCTCTCGGTTGCTTTTGGCCGAGTCCGGAGCGTGTCTGATTCTCGGGCGGCTCGCACACCATCTAGCGAGGAGGCGAGCGCGCGGCGAGTGAGGGAGGAGGCG